CCTCCACTCTGGATGCTGGTGTGGAGAGGCAGCAGAGCAGCAGCAGCACACTCTGCTAAGCTGCATGGAGACTCAGGGAGGGGCACGGAGCCCAGGTAAGACCCCGTCTCTACCGTTTCTTTTGTAACTCCTCAGTTTGCATGTCCGCTCTTTCTCCTCAGTGCTCTGTGCTGTGGGTTTGTCTAAGGGGTGTCTTCCTTTCACGTCTGCAGTAGTGGAAGGGAGGCACCTCCATCTGAACACTTGAACCGTGGACCAAGCATCCTGTCTAACAAGTGCCTATAGATGCACGAGTCATTTACACACACACACCACACACACACACACTCTCCATACAGTCTGTTGATAGACCAGGATGTATACGACATGTGGCCTTTGTGTCAAATGGATGCAGAGAAGCCGGTGCTGTGTGTGTGAAGCCAGTGCTTCTATTGTCTCCTTCATCCCAAAGGCAGACACTTTGTCTGACTGTAAACATGTAAATATATACAGCCTGTGCAGGATCAACTATACATTTGAATTACATAGCAACAAATGGCATCTTGTTTTTTTTTTTAAGGGAATTAGATTTGACAAAAACAGGATTGAAATAAATTTAAAAGTAAAATAAAAAGAAACTTAATCTTCTGTAGGGAATAGTTTACTTTTTAATTATTATTTCTTAAAATTTGAAAGTAGAAATAGTAAAAAACAGAACAATGTATTTATGGTTAGACTGTTAACAAAATATAGCTAACAGCTAAAGGTTAGCAATAAAAGAAGAATAAAGAAGAATTGTAAGGCAAGAGCACATGCCACTCTGCCACCAGGGGGCCCCCGTTTCAGATTATTGGAGGAACATTCAACACTCAAGTAGAGGATGAAGTAGTACTATATACCTAACACATATACACGTGTACGTTACTCCCAAAGCCGGTGGATGATTCCCAGTCTTACTGTCAACTCACTGAAAGAAGAAAAAACTCTAGAGTTGGTACTGGACCCTGACACACTCAGAGCCTAGAACTGACCCAACCCTTCAAACCAGGATTTGACCCTTTCACCAGTACGACTAGTCCTTGAAGGTTCTGTGTTTGTGTCAAAGAAAGTTCCTGAAGGATCAGACATAAACATTCCTACTTCCCTCCCGTCTGTGTGTGTGTGTGTGTGTGTGTGTGTGTGGATGACGGTCACAGGTGTGACTCTGACTGTCCTCCAGCAGCACCTTACTGTACTGTGCAAATATTCACCCACAGCTCCATCTTGTGTTGCTCAGCAGGTGGTGTCAGGCTCAGACCATCTGTGTCAACTCCTCCATCTTTACAGGCAAATAACGCCGTGACCGTCCTGACTGCTCTTTCCATCTGTCACTGTCAGGGAGTTTGTCCAGGACAGATTCATGTCGACCAGATTCTACTTCTGTGGAGCTCGGAATAATATTTGTCTGTGATGCAACGTGACAGGCTTTAAAAAAAGAAAAAACTAAAAAACCTAAAAAAAACCCCAACCCTGCACTTAAGCAGTTTGTCCCACACTGACGCAGCAGTATCTCCACTGAGTGTTTGCTGAGGAAGGTGATGCAAGGAGAAACAGGAGCTGCTGCTGTGCTGTCTAAATATTGAACAAACATTTCATCTCAACAACAGAGCTGAAGCTCTAGTCTTTCAGCCTCCTCACTGGGGAAATCAATACATCAAGAATCCAGTGGTGAGCTTCTCGGGGTGAAACCAGACTCTTGCTCGTCATTCTAACACGTGAAATTCCTATGATTTTTTTTTTTTTTTTTTTGGAACAAAGGAAAAGAGGAGGACAGCATGGGGAGTACGATCGCCGGAACTAAAGTAAATGTCAGGAAACCGTGCTTTACTCCCACACTGCTCCATCATCTCTGCACGCCACCCCAAGAAAACAGCCACGCTGCTGTCAGCCTGACAAATGTTGTCTGTCCCCAGTCTGTCTGTCCCCGTGTCTGTTCCCCGTCTGTTTGTCCCCCGTTTGTCTGTCCCCCGTCTGTCTGTCCCCATTTGTCTGCCCCCCGTCTGTCTGTCCCACTGTCACTTCTACATGCACAGGCATCATGTTCTAAGATAGTCTGAAGGTTTTGACAGACCGATATATATATAATGAAATATATATATGACTAATCATGATTAATTGTTGTTAAAATGTTCCTAAATATGATCAAAAATTGATTTTTTTTTCTGTATATTGGTGAAACAGAAACACAGCAGGTTGTCAGGTCAATGTTTTGGGTTTTTTTAAAACAGTTTTCATGGAAAAAGTTAAGAAAAATAATCAAAAGTTTGACTCCAAATGTAGCCCTGTAGCATCGGTGAACTTAAGTCATTGCTGTGGTTCTTGATGGTGACTCGTAGTATGTGTTGAGAAGTGCTTTGAGAACTTTGGTGACCTTGTCAACTGACTGTCTTGTCACTTGACAAGCCCCCCCACCACACACACCCACACAACAAAAAGAAAATAAAAATTTGTTTGTTTTTCTCCCCCTTATTTCTGTAAAAAGCACTCATTCAAGCAGTGTTTCCATCACAAAAACTCAGTCGTTGTAGAACTCACACTGGGCGACATCCTGTTTCTTGGTTTTTGTCCTAAAAATGTCTACTGTACTGTTGAGGAAATCAGGAGTACTGGGAATATCACAGTAATGCAACATTCAGATGAGGATAATCAGAGAATGACAAATGTGTTCTTCAGAGCCCAGTAAAGACATCCAGAAGCTGCTGAAGCCCTCCAGCTCAGGTGACCTGTCCAAGGAGCTGCTCCACATCGCAGCAGGAGACGAGGAGAGCAGCCTGTCAGGACACACAGCTGCCAGCCTGGAGGTACAAGGTTGTAAAATGCCTTCAGCCAGAGATAGAGGAGATAGAGTAGAGATGATCAATACAGGGAGAATTTAATAGAGAAGGCGATGAGGAAGTAGGTCACAGGGAAAAAATCTGCTTCAGGCCAAAATACTCTTTCTACTCCATGCAAAACAGTCATTTCCAAAGACATAAAAACTGGATATTTTGTTGTGTATTAAGTTTTTGTATGAGACTGATGTCATAATCTCTGCACGCTTGACAGAATGTGGAAATGTTATATTGTTTTTAAAAAATTCTATATGTAGCTGAATCAAAATGAGCTTTTGTTTTTATCAGCATTCAGCATGTAGTTCATAGCCTGGTCTGTAGGTGGTGCTAAACATGCATTTAAAGCCTTGCCAAATTTATCAGTGCATTATTGTTACACTAATTAAGCTGTGTGTTAGCGGCCCTGGCATGGTAGCACACACTGAATTAGCAGCATGTTAGCAATGTGGTCTGTACGTAGCATGTTAGCGGGGCCCTAGCAAGTAGCGTTTTACTTTGAGACCAGTTGGATTTCAAGGAAATACGATTAGCGAGGCTAAGGCCCCTCAACTCTGCTTCGGGCTTTCTTGTCAGGTCTTAAGGGTCAAATGGCTTGACGGGCCACATCCAGCCCACGGGCCTCGGATTTGACACATGCGAGTTATTTCCTTAGGCATAGCCCATTTACTGTAGCATCAGTTTGTTCAATCCATACTTTTTCATCTCATGTTTTTTCTTACATCCTAACACTCACCCCAGAACAACATGGTAATGAATTAAAATGATAAAAAAACACACACTCAGCGATCACTGGCTCCTCGACTTTCCCACAGTCTGCTGCAGATCGAGCCTGCTCTGAAAGAGCTTGTTGTGCGTGGGTGTCACACAGAAGCGTCCCTGTGTCAGTCGGACACAGAAGCACAGACAGAGACGCTGAAGTCACACTGCTGACAATGAGGACTTTATCTGCTTCAATAACCTGCACTTTTTCCAAAAACAACTGGTCCAGAGGCTCGAGTGGCTCTGACCGCAGCCGTGACACCTGCAGGTGACAGGTCAGCTGTCGAGGTCAACGACGACGGGCGTTGGTGGGAAGCTCAGAAACAAACTCCCTGCTGGGACCAGTGCTGTTTTTGTATGGCAGCTGGTACTGGACCATATGGAACGTCTATTTTCAGATATAGAACAAAGAACGTGGATCAACCTATAAAACATACTGTAAACGAAGAGGTTGTTCCTTTATCAACCTATAAAACTTACTGTAAACGAAGAGGTTGTTCCTTTATAGAACACAGAGTGTGTAACGTAAACGCAGTGAAGAGACACTGAACTGTCTCTATTTGCTGAAGCTAAAGATAGATGTTTATTATATTTGCTCCAGTTTTATCACATTCTGATCCATCTCTGAAAATGACAACACAAGAAAGCCGGATTGAACACCCTAGTGGACCGGTTTTGGCCCGTGGACCGTATGTTGGACACCCCCGTTTTAGAGACTCTGGCTGAGCTGGAGGTGAGGAGGATGGACAGGATTAGACATTTGTTTGGAGATGAAGTCAAAGTGGTTTGGTCCAAACCGTTTGAGGACAGAGACTGAATGGTAACGGACAAAGAATGTTGAGATGTTGAGATGGAGCTGCAGGGCAAGAGGACGAGAGAGGACGAGAGAGGACGAAAGAGGAAAAAGGAGAGGAAAAGGAAGCAGATGATCTTCTGTGTCGACCCCTGAGGGGAGGTTTTGAAGCGAAGGCTAAGAATGGCCTGAATTATTAGCAGGGTTTGTGAATAGATGATCAAAGATCCTTCAGTCTGCTCTTAGAGAAGGTGCGGTGGTGTCTTTCATTATTCATTTGTCTCAGTCACACACACCCTTTTTCTGGGTCTCTTCTGTGTGATTTCGCCATCGCCCATGTTCCCCACTGACGTCTCACGACTCCCTGTCGGTTTGAGATGGAGGCAGCCGTTACAGCTCGTCTGCCAGGGAGGGACAGAAAAAAGCAGTGATCAATTATTCAGAGGGTGGGAGTGGGGGGGGCAGGGGGAGGAGGGCGGTGTCAGGATGAAGTAGAGCAGAGCTTGTATTGTCAGCACCACAAAATAAGAAAAGATGAGGCAGGCCTGGTTGGAGTGTTCTCACAACTTTCAGATTGATCTGAATTTGGTTCAAATGTCTTTTTTGTCTGTTTCCAACGTTTTCAGGCCGTTTAGTTTCACGCTTTAAATTTGGGTTAGTAGAACCAAGAACCTTCACCATGCAGCCTTTAGAGAGAGTCAAATATATTTAGAACATTTTAAACGGGGGCAGAGAGTTTGAGCTCCGGCCTCACGGCACCAAGATCTGTTCCCCTGTATTGTATCCCTGGTGGAAACTGGTGGTCTTTCCTTATGGAGTTCCTCCCACAGTCTAGGAACATGCAGGTTCACTGGTCTCTCTTTATTGGCCAATAGGTTTGAATGTGTGAAAATGTGAAATGATTGACTGAGTATTTCCATTTGTGTTTGTCGATACAGATTACTGAGATTTCTAAAGGTTAAAAAGAAATGAGTGAAAAACCCACTGGTGCATACGTTCGTCTCAATAACTGAGGCAGAAAATACTTATTGTTTAGTCAAACATTCAGCAGATCAATCATCTCTGCTGTACTTTTTACAGCAACAGAAGACGAACGATCGAAAGGTTAAAGGTGGTTTTTGAAAAGGGAATAATAATCGTACATGAATATTCAATCCCAAAAAATCACTTGATATTTTGTTATTGAAGAATCACAGAATACAGAAAACCTTGATGCGGTTTTGTGTTTTACTCACACAAATGATCAGAAATACAGTACATTAAAAAACCCACACGCTCGTATGTGTCCTCCCCCAGGGACACGCCCCTCACTTTTCTTGTTATTCCACTCATTGTTGTTCTTGTCAATTTTTTTAATCTGTTTTTTAAAAAACAGCTCATGGAAACTAACCTCAGCTTCAGCATAACAATCAGCTCAGTTAAAGATCAATATCCTGTCAATCACTGCACAGACACTGGCAGCTGAACACCTCCCCTCTCCTCCCCCCCTCCTCCCCCG